AGATCTTGTAAGCCCTTATAGGTCATGACAAGAACTTTGATTATGTTTTGTTTTTGGTGCTGGGAATTAAACCCAGGGGTGTTAACTACTGAGCCATGTCCTTAACCCTTGTTATTTTTTACTTTGAAGTAGTGTCTTGCTAAGATGCTTAGGTCCTTGCTAATTTACACAGGCTGACCTTGAGCTTAAAATCCTCCTCAACCTCCCAAAGTTGCCGAGATTACAGGTGTGTGCTACCATACTTGGCAAGAATTGTGGTTGAGATTACAGGCATGTGCTACCATCCTGGCAAGAATCGTGGTTTTTATTCTGAGTAAAACTAAGAATCATTGGAAGATTTTGCTGTTGGCTGACTTCCTTTGGCAAGCCTCAGACAGTCCCTTCTGCTACCTAATTAACTTTCTCTGTTTAGCTGTCCAGCTAAGTCTTCACTCTTTAGTTTCCTACTTTCAGATTCAACACAGAGGAATCTGATTGGCTCATGTCAGTTAAGTCAGGTTGTGGAAATTATACATAGCCAGCTAGATAGTGAATTGGCTAATCTTTGGTTAGATGTTTGTCTTTAGCCCTGTCAGTAGTGACCTGGATAGACGAACATATGGTTGGGTGCCACAGTCTGGCTGGGCACAATTCAGGAGCCACTTGTCAAAAGAAACGAACTTTATTTTTAGAACACACACACCATACCACACAGCTCCTCAGGAAAAACCCTCAGAGCCCAACTGCCACTACCCAGCTTCCCACAAGCCTCTCAACCTCCCCAACTCCTACTGCTCTTGAGGCCGATTAACTGGGTCGCGTGGGCGGAGCAAAAAAAAGTCCCCCAATGAGCAGCTCGTGGTCTGAAAGGGCGGGGAAACAGCCCAATGAGCATCACCGCAGAGGAGCCAATCAGTTGGCAGCTAGAAGTTTGCTGGGGCCGCTGTGAGCCAGTCATCAGCTGGCAGCTAGAATTTTGCTGGGGCCCCTTCGGCTGTGGCTCTCAACAGTTGGGGCAGTTGCTGACAGCCAGGTGTTGTCTCATGTGTCATACTTCTATTCTGCGGCTTTGGTCTACTTAAAAGATGATCATCTCCACTTTCTGTATCTTCTCTGCTCCCTTCTTATCACCAAAATTTGAGGTGGAAATGTAGAATTTCTTTTTATTAATTATTGTATATTTATTGCATACTCATAGTGGGCCAGGCAATCTGAGGATAAAGTAGTGAATAAGATGAAATAGATTTTTGCAGTCATAAAACTCACCTTCTCCACCTGCATTTTAGATGGAAAAAATAGGTAATAAAGAAGCAGATAAATCACATTTTAGATTGTAGTTGTTGCTATAAAGAGAGGAGCTTTTTGAGGACATGGCATTAGAACTTAGGCTGCTTACCCATTTCAGTATCAATAGCTTTAACCTTTTAAAACTGGTTGTTGTTACACTGTCTCCCCCCCCCCATTTCTTATCATTAACGTGGTTATGTAATCTTTGCCTGAAAGAAGACCTGTTAGTGGCCCTCAACCCAGAACAAATGGGAGGAGTATATACATATATAGGAGAGTCTATTCCAAGAATTTTCAGATAGTAGACCTAAAATGTAAGGTAGACCACACTTAAGGCCAAGTTTTTATAATATTTTATAACAATTTTTGGAAATGTTTACTCATTTGTATTATTCAGAAGTTGGCTGATCATATTTCCAAGTTTTTGAAAGAAAAAGTTCTAACGTTTCTTCACAAAGGTTCTGAAAATAATTAGTGTTCATTTACATGTTTTCTTATTGTTTCCATAGTTTGTAAGTTAAAAATAATTATTCATTTTAAATAGAGATTTTAAGAGTATGTGTATATGTGTGTTTTGAAGACTAAATTGAAGATAAAGGACATGAGAGTCTAATATTTTATTTATCAATAAGGGGTTATTCCTTACCTGCAAAACTAATAAAAAAATATTAAATCCTAATGTTTTTTGTTAAACATGTAGGCTAGTTCCTGGAGAATGGAGCAGCCTTAATATGATTCACCCTTTAAGCATTATGCTATAGACAGAAACCTTTAGTGATATAAAGACATGGAGAAAATGTTTAATGCGTGTGTGTGAGTTGTACAGTATACTTTGAAAAAACCCTGGTAGAATATACAATAAAATATTAGCTATGTTAAATTATATTAACTATGGTTGTAATTTTTGTGTGGTGAAATTATAGTGTCTTGTTTGTGTATGGATATGTTTTCTCTATTATCTGATTCTTCTTTATTTGATACCCAGAAAGCAGTTTTTAATATTAAAAACAATTATCATTTACTCAGTTATAGAATACAAGGAAGAGCTCATTTAAAGACATTTTGTATTAAAAAAAAACATTGAATGCACAATATTGGTTGACGGTGTGTTTTAGTTGTTGACATCGGTTTGTAGTTTTAGGCTGCCTTAAAAGATACAAATGTGTAGTTCAGAGAAGGAAGTAAAGTCCACTGGAATCTCTGCAAACCCTGCCTTCCTCCTGTTTCCCTTTCTCTCCTACCTGCAAGCTGTGGATTTTATTCTTTCAAGGAGTCCACCAGGAGAGTTCAGAATGACTTTCTCATTCCTTCTCTGTAAGTTCCTTTTTCATCTTCTAATTTGTGTACTCAGGTGAGGTCCTTGCATCTTTTTTCTACTATCTGTCTTTTTCAAAAGTACCATTTACCACATTATCTGAGGGGAACAGAAAAGGAAAAGATATTAGAATTGGCCTCTAGAATCCAAGCAACGTGATCTGATAGGTAATGACTATAGAAAAGTAGCTAATCAATGAATTCCATTTAGTTTATAGCATTTTAATGGAGGAATTGGAATTCTTAAAGAATTTTGTGGTATCTTAAATTTTAATGACACCTGAACAGAAATCTTAAATGGTAACTTCATATTCTGAAATGCATGGGGCAGGTTGTAAGCTAACAGCAATATGTAAATCATCTAAAGATAACTGTGAGCCTCAAATTCCCACTCAGGGTAACCAGGAGCTTACATAAGACATAGTATTTTAACCAACTCATGTCTACCACCATCTAATAACAGGTTCATATGGAGAATTGTATGTCATCTACTGAGACCTGTATAGGGCAGCATAATAAATATATTCTGACATGTTGCAGAAGTGTTCAAGTACATGGAAAGCAGAGCAATGGAAGTAGCACTTCAGAGGAATTTGCAAATTGAAAGAACTGACAGAAAGCAGCCAGTGAGACTCCATGTCTCCTATAACTTCCCACTTGGGATACCTGGCTCTAGACAAATGCTTGGGTAGGGGAGAATCTTTCATAGAGAAAGAAAAATTAAGATAGTGAAGCTCTTAGAGATCTGATTTGTGCTTTGTCAAGATGGTATAAGACCTTGGAAATGGTATTGCTTATTTGTATTATATCCTAATAAAGGAACTCAGTGAAAGTGTTTTCACTCAGGTGAAAATGTATATTTTTAATGGACTTTAACGTTCTATTTTCCCTCAGGTTCTTCTTTTATTTCTTTAGTTCTGTGCACCTTACTTGGATAATGATCTATGTAGTCTAGCTGACATTTTGTTGTGTTTGGTTTGAATCTTCATATACAGTTATGCAATGCTTAACATTGTGTTCATATTTTGAGACATCTCATTAGGCATTTTATTGTGGGAACATGGTAAGTGTACACTTTACACAAAGCTGGATAATATAGGTCAATAACTTGACATGGTCTCAAGACTCTCAGTAAGAACAAGGTGTATGAAGTTGCTTCTGGCATAATGCTGCATATTCTTTTACAGTAAACTTATATAAGTATAAGGAGTATACTCTAAAATAACAATAAAAAGTATGGCACAGTGAATATATAAACCAGTGATATGTTTTTTTGTTAAGTATTATATACTATATGTAATTTTATCTGCTATACTTTCATATGACTGGAAGTGTAGTAGGTTTGCTTATACCAATATCACCACAAATGTGAGCAATACACTACACTATGACATTAGGACAGCTACTGAGTTACTAGGTGATTGATACTTTTCGGCTTCATTGTAATCTTATGGGATTGCTATGATTATGTTCAGTCTGTTGCTGATTATATTAGGTACAAAATTATGCACAGGAACACATACACAGGAAATGAAAAGTTTGGGGGAAAAAACCAAGAAGTGAGTCAAGAGAAGATAGTACATGATAAAAGTTAATAAGATAGATGTGACAGATACACTATGACATAATTTTGTATCTAATATATCAGTGGTTCAAAATCTGGAACTTTGTAGAAGCTTTAATTTTTAAAAAGAGAAGTGCTTTTGTGTTTCTGCAGATTTGGCATGGAGTAGGCTGAGGTCAGATTTGGTTATACTGGGTTTGAGCTGTTGGGTCCAGGTAAAGATGTTAATGGACAAAATAGCCTTAGAGCACAAGAGACCCATTAGGAAAACATCAGTGAAAATGTGGTAATGGAGGTCATCTCCATATTGTTTTAGTTCATTTCACCCATTTCTTATAAGCTTGCTGTGATGAGCAAAAACAGATATAGTTTCTTCCCTTTGTTCTTTCCTATAGACAAAGAAACTTAAAACTTTTAAGAATTTTTTACAAAATTTCCTGGCAGATTCTTAAATCATCATCTCTGTCTCTGCTAGATTTCTATAGCAGGACCCAGTTTCAACTGGATTATAAATTTATCAGAAAATTTCTATGCATCTAAAAGGAATGTAAACACATACCAACTATGAGTTTATGGGGGGGAGGGAATGAATCTGGTGGTGATTTCTCAACCCAGAAAATAAAAATCTTGGAGAAAAATTTTTAAGATCTCTTTTATTTGTGTCTTACATTTTCTCTTTGCCGTCCTTTCCTTTCATCTCTTTATTTTTTCTGGATTTTGTAACATTATCAGTTCCAAAGCAGAGATATTTCTTAATAAGCAATTAATTATTTCCTAATATCTAATTTTTAAAATTTGTTCATCTACTCTTAAAGACATTGAAAATGTGATATTAATGTAATTTTAATAACTACAGATATCGGGAGGCAATTCAGAAGTGGGATGAAGCACTACAGTTAACCCCAAATGATGCTACCCTCTATGAGATGAAATCACAGGTAATAATTTGCAAAATTTCACTTTGATTGTGAAATTATGCTGTTTATTTGGTGAGCAGTGATGAACCAAAATAGTGTTTCCTCCCATTTTTCTTTTACAAATATAATTTATTTAAAATTTTATCATAGTATTTATGGCTCTGCCATATAAATAAAATTAGAAATTTACTTGCCTTAACAATGAATGTAACTGTTATTTAACCTAATTGTAAGATATCCATATACTTATATCTAATCAATTATATCTTTTAAAAAGTTACATTGTAGTGGAACACCGATAGCTTATTTTTCTTCAAAATTAGGATGAATTGGGTTCTGCATGAAATTTCTCTAAAAATAGCTGAGGCCCTAGCATTGGTTAGATTAGATGCACCTTATTAATAGTTTAAAAGTTACATTTGTCTTTAAAATACATTTTTTAGTATTTTGTAGGAAAGTCTATAAAGAAAACCTCTGAGCATTCAAATTAGGCTATCCAAGCAACTTCAAAAGTCTCAGAACATTAACCACATTTTTGGTAGAGTTCATCCTTGATCTGGGTGCCTAATAAATGTTTTTCAGATAATGACGTCAAACATGAAACACATGCTTTATTAATTTGATTTTAGTTTATCCAGAAAAACTTGAATAAATTATGTCCACTGAAGCAAGTGCTATGAGGACCTTCATTTCTCAATCTTAAAATATTTATATAATAAGGCATAATTTAGGGCAAACTGTATGAAAACTTTAATTTGGAGCCTGATAATGATGCTGTCATAAAAAATGTTCTAAAATGTTAATGCCCCCAACAATTATAGATAAAACCCAACCCTTTCTCATAGACTAAAAGTGGAGAAGACTTAAACTCCCTGATTTTTCTGGTTTTTATGGTTTGAAAAGCCCAGTTATGAGGATGTCTATGGAATGTCAAAATAATTTTCACACGAGGGAGATGTTCACTAGGGACAGGATGGCTGGTTGAACAAATTAATTTACCTCCTTGAAGAGCAAAGTTTGGAGTTTTCTTAACAAACACATTGTAAATGGAATAAATAAAAGTGGAAATGGGAGTTCAAATAGATCTGAATTACCATGTCCAGAATAGGACCACTTGGTTTTGACCAGATAGACATAGAATTCAGTAGCTGGAAAGGGAGAGTTTTATTTTCTTGTTATTTTAGGAGATAAAAGACTTAATTTCTGATCTCGCATAGCAAAGGAGGGATAAAAACCACTGAAATGCTATGTTTACCAGATTAAAATATCCTCAAGAAATGAAAATCTTCGTTTATTAATCAGTAGTTTATTAGTTTATATATATATTACCCAGTTTTTCTCTTCTTCTTCCTTTTGGCTTATAGGTTCTGATGTCTCTTCATGAAATGTTCCCAGCAGTACATGCTGCAGAAATGGCTGTACAACGAAACCCACATTCATGGGAGTCTTGGCAAACTTTGGGGCGTGCTCAGCTTGGATTAGGAGAGATAGTCCTGGTAAGGATGTCAGATCATTATAATTCTGAATTTTAAAGTTTATTTTGACAGATTTTTGATCAACCAAACCTGAAGGCAAGTAGTCATTTCTCAAGTCTGTATAAAAAATAAATACAAAATCACCTCTTTAAAAGCATTATTTTATAAACACAGATCAAAGCTATTACTGAACATCTTTTATGATTATTAGCACCAATTATATCAGGATAAGAGTATTTTTCAGCTATTTGGTATCATGAAAATTAAAAAATAAAAATTTAACTTAAAACATTAGCATTTGGTTAACCTATTTTAAACAGACAATAAGCAACTTCTGGCTTTGTTCTTTGGATCATTAGGTTTACTGCATTATAAAGTGATAACAGTGTTATCAAGGAGATGAAGCCACTAATAGATTTTGTAGGGAAAAGAAGACAGAATATGGGAGATAAATGATGCTAAATATTTAAACTAAAAAGTTGCTAGACTTAGGGGCAAGTGGGGAAGGGTAGAAACTTATGAAAATAAAATAGTCATTATTTGAAATTTACTATCAATGGTACTAAGTGCATCTCTTTTTTTCCTTTATTGGCACATTATAATTATACATAATTGTATAATTATAATATATGTACACACAATAAAACAGTATAATTTTTTTAGAAATCAAAAATTTAATGACAAATGCAAATACAACCAAATCAATAATAATATTAAATGTGAATAATTGAAAAAAACTATCAAAAAAGAGAGGTTTTCAGACTGCAGTTTTTTAAGCAATTTATTTATAATTTATTCATTGTTCAATATTTTTATTTATTTTATTTTTTAAAATTTGTTTTAATTAGTTACACATGACAGTACAAAGATCTTGACATATATTTGAATCAAATGGGGTATAATTTCTCATTTTTCTGAGTGTACAGGTTGCAGAATCACATTGGTCATGCAGTCACATATATACATACAGCAATAATAATGTCTATTTTATTCTGCTGTCCTTCCTTTCCCCACTTCCCCTCCCCTCCCCTCCCATCACTTCTCTTTACCCAATCTAATGTGACACACTTCTTTTTTTTTTCTTTTTCCTCACAT